TGAATGGAGTAAATTGTTTTTCAATGAAGAAGACAATATAAGGCTTCTTTAAGGTGTTTTGAGGGGATTTTTTTCCCTTTCAATGTTAAAAGAAAAGTCTCACTAACCCCAAAGTACTTCTTCCAACAGTTATCTAATTAGCAAAAGAATGAAATGTACCAGCCATTTGGCCATGCAAGTTATATAATGTAGTAGCACATTGTGTGACATAAGAATTCAATGTAGCACAACATTTTCCTTCTCCAATTATTTCATGCTTCTTTATCTCATGTTCTTTCTTAGAAGGTGATAGCTTGTGAATGGCCTCCAGTGTATTCTGGGATGTGTTGTACTCAGGACTCTCACGCGATTTCCCAATTCACCCACTCAGTTATGGCTTTCTACTTGGGTCTAATAACAAGAAACAAAGGTACTCATCTCACTCAGTAAACACATGCAGAAGTGTGTATGTGTCAGCCACAAGAATCTCCACAGCTCTATATAGACAGTAATACGTGTAATCCTCAAAAACTCTGGGTTTTTTGGTTAGGTTCTTTTTTTTTTTTGCCTTCATTTTACAGGTGAGAAAACTAGGTCATAGACAGAACCAAGATTTAAACTGAATTTGTATAATTGACCACAACACTACGCTACTTAGTTAGCAGTATGCCTCTTCTATACAAACTACCTCAATATCCAAATTACTGTGTTTCCAACAACTTTGAAAAATGCTCAGGCAGTGTCTTCAATGGTGTGTGTGCCCTGTGGGACTACAGCTAAGTCCAAAGTGCCCCCTATGGGTCCTTGCAAATTATATCAAAGACACTCCAGTTATGATGAATCCATGCAGGAAGGGATGTCTTACTTCAGCCATCGATGGTACAGGGCAATGGTAGCATGGCTCAAGGTTGGGGGCAAGCAAAAGAAGACTAGGCAAAGACCCAAAGCTGCTAGGAAGTCAGTAAAGGGAAGACAGAAGGGATCCCACAGGTCATTGGTGCAGGACTGTGCTGAAGGAGGATAAGTGGGGTCCTTGCCCCAAGTAGGCAGCGGGAATCAGTGGGCTCAAGGGATTATCCAACCACAACCCCTTTCTCACAACAACCATTAGCTCTGTGACTTTAATGGAGCGGAAGGTATGGTGGAAATGTGGGACCTGCTGTAAGAAGTATGTATTAAGACTTAATAGGGATGCTCAATGGCCAGTGTGTATGGCCTTGATGCCTCTATGATACCAATTGTACATAATTACCTGGTCTTTGAAACATAACCATGTTGATAGGTGAGGAGCTGTTATAGTATTATAAAGAAGAATTAAACAGCTGTTACTATCAAATAATTATAAATGCCTATCTGTAAGCATTTCTTTGAAAAATCAAAATTGTTCAGGGAAGTTATCTACAATGTTGCTTTGGATAGGTTTTCATTATGAGCTTCTAAAATTATAATTTATGACCTTATATGCTTCACAAATATACAATGGTAATTAGTTGATTGATATAAAAAGAATAACTGCTCAAGTATGTGTGCTTCTCTTAACCATCCATTATGTTTATTCCTGTGATCATTAAAGCAGTGACTTTTCGTATTTGGAAGGTTCAGAAGAGAACTTGGCAGAAACATAAGCACAACATGGAGGGGGAAAAATCATTGTTGATAATTTCATTTGTATGTGTATCTTTCTGTAGATAGATAGGTAAGTGTAGACTTGAGCATACAGCAGATTGTGATGATGGCATAGAAGAGGGCAAGGCTCGAATTTGTTGTTCATAGGATTGCTGTGGGTAGTAGTCAACTAGATGGCACATAACAAATTTACACACACACATTTAGTCTTCTTTCTATTTGTATATCCATCCATCTGTATAGTGAAAACATTTATTAAATGTGGCTCTTTGTGCCAGGGGGATACATTTTTTAAATAGTAACAACAATTTTTATTTTTTTTTATTGTCCTGATGTGTACTAAATATTCTTTAAGAATTGTTAAAGCCATAAAATCGAACATTTCTCTTAATACAAGATAGTACACGAAAGTACTATCAAATAGAAATAAACTCTCAATAATACTCGTGAGGACGTTCTTAAAAATTCAAATATTTAGTCTAGTTGAAGTTCAAGTTGTGATGGAGTTCCATCTGCTTTTTTATCACGTTTTCTGTGTCACTCAGAAGCAAAGTTTTAGCATCAACAGAATGAAAGCAAATATTTCCTTCTCACGCTGATTCAAAAATTAATTGGTGTTACGCCTCCATTGACTGATAATTATTTTCTAAATGAATTAATTCCAAGTCTTCTCTATAATAAGAAAGACCCAAGACAAACAAAAAGAGTTATTGATTTATAATTGTTTAATACTTCTTGGTATATTAAAGGTAAACTGTATCCAGAATGCTTGTGCTAATTACTAATCAGATATCTGCAGAGCACCTTGTTGAGCTAGTTGTAGAAGAAAGAAATGATTTTATGCAAGAGGCAAGTGAACACTACATATCATCTGTGCTTAAAAATCTACGTTAAACATTTCCAAGGCTTCACACAATAACCTCCAGCATTGCGTGAGTGGCTGCAAGGAATCCTCCGGCTGCTGGTGGACTCCTATTGGTGGCTGCAACATCACAGCCGTGAGGAGAGCTTCCTCCTGACTGTACCAGTAATTTTGCCATATGGATTGTCTAAAGGTAGCAAGACCTGCAGAAAAATAGAAATGTTAGCGTCATTGGCATTAAAATACCTCCCCTTCTTTTCCTATTAATCACTATTTGTGCCAGAGTGACCTGTTAAACAGGAAGGTGTATGTGTTGTGTAGTAAATTTAGTTCTAGACTGCCAGTGCCTTAATTTTCTGGCAATGGTAAGAGATGAGTCAATTTATCAGAAAATTTAGAAATTTTGAAAAGTGTTTAGTCATTGGAGCATAAACGTTTCTAAAACACATTACAAAAGAGTGTAGAGAACATAATTTGACCTTTTCTTGATGATTCACTTTGCACATCAATCGTTTTCCAATGCTGAGATACCGTCTGCTCCCAGGAAAATAAGAGGTCTGCAGGGCTGGGAGCCCAGCACTAAATGGCTCTAGACAACAGCATTTTTAGAACTCTTGCTTCTTACTCTGTCATTTGTTACTTCTCTGCTCTTGTCAGAATGTTCTGACTCCTTGCTTTTTCTGTGATGCGTTCACTTTGTACTTACACACCTACTGGGGCAAAGTGGCCTCAGCCCACCCTAAAGTGTAGAAGCACATGCAGAGAGTTCTTTCGGCCTTTATGCAGACCCCTGATGCATAGGGACTCAGATTCTCCTGCCTCCTCTAGATCCTTGGGTTCTAGGATGAAGCTGAGGGAGCTGCAAATCTGACTTCTTCAACAGAGACACTAGGACCTCAGCCCACTGGTGAACCCTAGAGCTGGGATCAGTACAGGCCTGAGGCATCAGAGATTCTGAAGATGCCCGGCTGGTGTCCTGAACACTACTCCAATGGAGGCATGACATCAGACTTTTTCCCTGTTTGGGCCATTTAATTTGCCTCATGGAGTCCCCATGTGGTGAAATGTGAGGCTAACAGTTAACATGCTAGGCTGTTAAGTGAATGAGTGGAGCTTAAAGTCCACTGAGAAACAGCTTGGAGATAGGTGATCTACTTTAAAAAGATTTTTTGGAAGCCCTATGGAGCACACGTGGGGTCACCATGACTTCCAGTAACCTTGATTTTACAACCGATAGTTGCAGGTAACTGGTATTCGATTGTTTGCTCTTTTTCCTGGTGGACCCAAGCAGGATTTCCTTCAGGCCCTGTCTTCTGCCCTTTAGGAGATACTTTAAAAGAGGCTTTAAGTTTGAACTAATAACATTTCAATATTCAACACCATCTTTTGAAGTACACAGCACTATCATTCTTCCAGCTGAAAGAACATCACTTGGAATCAAAGTTCCTCCCCTTTGCAACTCTGGATTCTATATCACCTGTACTAGGAACCTAAGCAAGACCTTCGTCCCCAGTGACAGGCAGAAAAGAACACCTGTGGCAATTCCGTTTTAAATGTAAATGTACTGAATGCTCTCACAGCTGCATAGATGGAAACCATAATGGTTTCAAAGAAGAACCTAGGTGCAGGCTCCTTCCCACCAGTAGTGCCCAGGGAGTGGCCATACTTGCCATACCTTATTATATGCACCTCGGTCCCCAACAGCTACCTGCTGCTGATGGCAGGGCAAAGCCCAGTGGAGCCTGCTACTCATCAATGCAGAAGAAAAGGTAAGGTATTTGAAGAGGAACTGTAATTACTGAGGCTTCTCTATCAGCAGACCTAGAATGCAAAGTCTTCTCAAAGGAGACTTAATTGGCTTTTGGTCAACCAAGGATATATGAGTCTAAGGCAGCAGAGCTATGCCTCTTCTCTCCCCTCAGCACTCCCACCCCAACCACAACAGGAAAAGTGACAAAATGGTGGGGTTTTTAATTATAGAAGTCTGTGGGAGGATGAACCAAATAGAAATTGTATCCTTTTAAAATTAGTCCCTACATGGTACGAATGGGTAAGTGCTTGGCTACTAGATGAAAGGTTGGTGGTTTGAAGCCAAACAGTGATGCCTCAGAAAGCAGAATTCAAAACCCAAAGGAACTCAATTCTATTCTGTGCACATGGGACATTAATGAGTTAGAATTAACTACAGGGAAACTAGCATCGTTTTGAAAGTGGCCCAAAAGGGAAGGACAGTTCAAATATCACATAATTGCCTATAAATTGTCCAAGATTTCAACCTATCTACAAAAAACTCCTGTGTCATAGTGTGTTATATGTTGAACTGCTTACTAAAAGGTCAGTAGTTCAAATCCACCAGCCATCCCCTGGAAGAAAGGTAGTTTCCTCCTGCGAAGATGTACAGTTTTGTAAACCAATAGAGAGTTGCTATAAATGGGAATAGACACAGCAGCAATGCGGTTTATTTTAGTCACTTGCGCAGGTTAAGTTTTGTTGTTAGGTACCATTGAATCAATTATGACTCAACGAATAGCAGATGAATAGCATGTCTGAACCCTGTCCTATCCTGTGCCATCCTCACAATCTCTGACCTATTTGAGCCGATTGCTGCAGTCACTGTGTCAATCCATCTCATTGAGGGCCTTCTTCTCTGCCCACCCTCTATTTTTCCAAGTATGATGTCCCTTGCCAAGGACTAGCCTCTTCTAACAATACTCAAATTATATGCCAGCTATATGCCAATATAGCAATAACAACACTTAAGACAGCTTTATCATTCTTGCCTCCAAGGAGCACTCTGGCTGCATCTTCTCCAAGCCAGATCTGTTAAGTGCTGGGCTGCTAATTGAAAGAGAGGCATTTTAAATCCACCAGGCACTCTGCAAGAGAAATGTGTGGCAAATTGCTTCTGTTAAGCATTGCAGCCTGGGAAACTATACGGGCCTGTAGGGCCGATGTGAATTGGAGTTGATACAACAGCAATGGGTTTGGTAGTTGAATATACAAAGTGGTTTAACTTTCTGACATAGCTAAAAATGAATCAGAGTAAGTGCTTTTTCCAAGATGAGGTTTCCTTTCAAAAAGAACTTTCTTATCCTGCCTTCTGTAAGTGCAATTAGAAGCACAAACACCCTTTCATCTTTTTGTGTGTTGTAGATGCTATTGAACAGACTATTTAATAAGTAAGTAGAGATGATGGATAAACTGAAAATAGCATCTGTTTCTCCCTCTCTGTTGCCTCATAATAGAAGAATAATGAAGCTGTAACCTTGTGTGGCACCTTTTGAGGAAGTAGATCTCAGAGCTGTTTCCTTGGGCACACTCTGTTCTTCTTTTGTTTCTCCCTCAGCAGATTCCCACCCTCCTATAATTATTCATCCACTTCGAGGGTACTCTAGCCTCAGACATTGAAAGGTCCAGGTCTGAGAGAGCTCTAATCAGTGGCGACTATAAATATTCCCCAAACCAACAGCTGCTGAGAGTTTTAGTTGGTGTGTGGGTGAATGTGAATATTTTTTTGAAGTTCTCTTACCTCGTCCTTGTTGATCAGTCCCATTTTGGACATGTCTATGTTAAAGTAGTGAATGTTTGGCAGGCTGATTTCCATGTCTTCTATCTGAAATGCACAATAATTTGTATCATGTTGGGCAATTAAGAGTATCACTGTTCTGTCTTACTCAGGCTCCACCTCTAGGCTTGAGGCTGCCTTTCGACTGAAGAATTCTCTCCTACAAGTCCTATTAGATGATGGGTCCATTCTTCTCATACAAAACCTGCTCCTCTGAAAAGTAAGAGTTCCTTGGATCACAAACCTGGAGGAGCGGTTAGACATCCAATTGGTTCCCATATGCCAGCAAGTCAACCTCCCTAGTTCCATTCCCTCCTCTCTGGGACTCCAACATTTTTAAGCTCTAGGGTAAGACTACTCGATACCTGAAGGCCTAAAGGTTAAAATCATAAAGTTGATTATTTTTTTTAAGAAAAGAAAAATATATTCTAGCTTTCTAACTCTATAAAAATAGCTTTAAGAAACATGGCAACATAAGTCAATCTCAACCTTGGCCAACCTGCCTTCTCTCATAGACTGACATTAGTGGACAGGCTAGCCTGCAAATCAAATCCCATTCATAGATCCTGCAAACAACTGCCCTACTGACAAGCCTCAGACTTAAGGATGTTTATGTCAATAGCTTGATCTGCTCTTAAGAGGGTAGATCTGGGGAAGACACCTACACCTGCTTACAAGTTAACTCAGGGATATTTGGGCAAGAAATACTGGAGGCCTAGCCTTGATGGTACTCAACCACAACAACAATAACAGGTATCCAGAGAGTGGTTTGGCTCTTGAAGAGTTTATTCCCTTGACCCCATAAACCCTTCATTTGGAGAGCAATACGGCTAGTGTAAGGTCTAAAGGGGTATCTAATGAATTGGGTCGTGGCAGGAGCTCCTCTCACTCAGGCCTCTCAATCCCACCGTCACTTTAGCTCAGACTTTCCTTTCCAGATTACTGCCATTGCTCTCACCTGGTCTCCTTGCTTGTTACCTGTCAGTCTTGAAGTTAATCACACTTCTTTTTCTTTTATTGCTCTGTTCATTTTTAATTAGATTTCCCTCATTTTGCATCATTCTATTTAAATATTGATAGTTAAATCCCAAATACTGAATGAGAAGCAATGGTATATAATAAACTAATGGAAAAGAATTCTGCATTAAATTTAAAGTTCACTTGGTTTATAGAGTATGTTCTGCCTTCCTAAACACAGCATAATTCAGAATAAACAATCCCTACTCAGACCACCAAATGTGTTTTAACAAACACAGTACCTTTCTTCAATAACTAATGTCTCGAAACATAACAGACATTCAAATTGTTTGCTGAAACTTTGAAAACCCGAAATCACTGCTTTGGAGACCAACGATTTGTAGCTACTCTCCGGAGGGTGTTCCAAGGCTGTAAATCGCACGGGAGGAGATTGCTCTTCTTTCTCCGCACAGTTACGGGTGGATTCTAATCACCAGAGAGGTGCCACCTTTGCGTTAGCACAACTCCCTACCCACTACACCACCGAGAGCCTTTTGCAGGTGAACATTGTTTCCTTCTCTTTTTCTGCAGGTCTACTGGCTCTCGGATATTTTTGTTTCCCAACAGTTGCTCAGACACATCAGCAAAAGTAATTTCCTGCTTTACACTTATGGGGACATTAAGTGCATACTGTAGTCCTTGAAGAAGCTTCTCAAGCGACTCCATCTGCTCTTCATAATTTTTTACTGTCTCCTCATGAACCATGACTTCATCCTGTGATATCATATCCTGCTGTCTCATTTCGCTTTCTTGTAACACTTCATCTGCAGCAAGGATCTCCTGGAGAGGGATACTCTGATCTTGAACACTCACACTTCTTATAGAGTGATTTTCCAGAGTATAAATATGGTAAAACTACATTCTGCTTGTATCATAACAGCTATCAGAATAAACTGAAAAATTCCATAGCTCATCCCAGACTAATACTTCCTGATCTAGACCCTAGCTCTCATTTTCAAACACAACTGCCGTCAAACTTGATTCCTACTCATGGCAGCCCTTCATCAGATTTCTGAGGCTGTAAATGTTTATGGAAGGAGCCTTCTCAGTTCTCTCCCGTGGAGTGGCTGGTGCATTGGAACTTCTGAACTATCAGTTAACAGTCTAACACACAACACACTATGATGTTTTCACTGTGATACTCATGGAGCATCACATTTGGCCAATAAGCTCAACATTAAACAAGTACCATGCTATCTCTTGTCATCATCATTTTCCCTATACCTCCATCCTCAAGTGTGGTCCCATATAAACTCTTCCTATCCCTAAAGTCTCAACTCAAGTGCTTCTGCCTCTAGAAATCCTGAGTGATAAACTTAGTTGGTGTCTTCCATAGCTTTGTTGTTTGTTTTCTATTCAATAATTCATATGCATTTTGTTTTATAGCGCTAATTACAACTGCTCAGTGTAATTTATTACAACCTCATCTTTCCTTTCACCTTACCCATCCACCCACTAATCACTGCTCCCCTCTCCCTCTCTTCCCAACCTCATCAAAACTCCATAATTGTGTAAACCTTTCCTTAGCTTCCCCCCAGTTTAAGATTTCATCAGTTGTGAATATCTTGTTTCCTAAGGTTAATTAAAATACACATATCTGATAACCTATTCATTCCACATTATCCTTCTGTCTTTGCTTATTCCAATAAAGGGTTATGGTCTATCCATTGTGGGCTTACTCTTTTTCCTTCATTTTTTTCTTTTTGCACTGTATGACGAGTTTTTTCAGGGTAGGGGACCATTTCTAATTTACCTTTGTATCCTCCATGTGCTGCAGAGATATTATAGCTATTCAATGGCATCAAATGGATGGATGGAGGGTTAGATGATGGAATCTCTCTACATCTAGCCTTTATTCTCAGACTCCTCTTAAGCATAGGTTCTCCATTTAATTATCCCCCTTCAAGCCATTCAGGTGTTCTGAATATGAGGGTTAAAATCAGTAACACGTTAAAAAGGCTCACAGAATTCCCTCCAAAATTCAAGAACCACAGCAGTGGCCTATGTTTTTAAGTTGGACAGATTTTTCCATTTTTTGCTCTCTTCTCACTTGCTATAACAAGCTTTTGAACAATAACAGATGTCATTTTTCCTGTGTCTTACAATTTCTTATTTTAACTCTAAACTCTTTATTGGAGTTGACAGGAAACACAAGTTCTCTAAATCCTCAATATGGCAAGTGAAAAAACATACCTCAGGAACCCGACTCAAGGAAAGCACCTGGATGTCATAGAGGGTCTTCTGCACAGAGGGCGAGTACTCGCCTTTGTCATAGGGCCCAGCAAATTTCTCCAGGACGGTGTCCCGAACAACATTCCTGAAACCCAGAAAAGGAAACCGAGGATGTTCACAGGGTCACCTTTCAAAAATTCTTTAGAACCAACGAGATACTGAACCCTGCAGGATCATAAGGGCAGCATTTGTCCAAGGATGAAAGTTCAGAAAGTAGGAAGGAAGTGAAAATGACAGGATGAATGCAAAGCAGAACTGCAGGGAGATAGTGGGAAGAGTGATGATAGTATATGGAGATTGTAATCAATATCATAAAACAAAATATATGTGAATGGCTGAATGGAATATCAATCTGCTCTGTAACCTGTAATTTAAATAATTTTAAAAAGATAACTCATTAGAAAGCTGAGAAGTGGTGGCCTTTCTGCCCTCCAGAAAACAATTTATTGCCAGTTTTAGAAAAGATACATATAATGCCAAGAAACCTCACTTCTCATTTCTCTTTTTCTGTCAATCATATACACACATGCACATCCTACCACTAGCACCATATCACAAACATGGAGTTTCACAGGGCGCTTTTTATAGCCTGATTCCAAGGCCAAATGAGCATTCCAGGGTCAGCATCTTTCCACATTTCAAGATTATATGAGAACTCACCAACATTGAGATTCTTACTGCTCAGCTTTATTGGGCTCTTTATTGTCACAAAATTCAGGTATAGCCATTCATTCATTTTCTTTTTCTTTCTAGCATTTTTCATGACTACCATATTACTCTTGTTTATTTGTGTCTTCTATAAAGTTAAGCTCCACAATGCTAGGAATTTTAGCTGTTTCATGTTATTGTTACAATGCTAGTAACAATCAATGCTGAGAATTTACTGGGGAGCTTTGATGGGGTAGGGAGTTATTCTGCTAACCCGAAGATGCTTCTCGGGTAGTTAGAATGAACTAGCTCATAGGCAGAAAGGGGGGAAAACTCTTCCAGTTTGATTCACAGCCTCTGAAACTCAATGGCAATGAGTTTAAGTTAAGGAGCACTGGTGTGCATGGTGCATACTGGGCCGGGCTGCTAATAGAAAGCTGAGCAGTTTGAATCCTCCAGCTGCTCTGGACGAGAATGAAGAATAAGATGGGCAATCGTCCTGTTAACATTTTCAGTCTTAGAGACTTGATGGAGGACACCATGAGCCAGAATTAACTTGATGGCTGTGGGTTTGAGTTTGGTTTGGTTTAGATATTAATTAGAGAAGTCTGATGGTACAGTGGTTAAGAACTTGGCTACTAACCTAAATGTCAATGATTTAAATCCACACTGTTCTATGAGAGAAAGAGGAGGTATTCTGCTTCCATATTTACAGCCTTGGAAACCACAGAAGCCAGTTCTACTCTGTTCTATAGGGTCACTGTGAGTTGAAATCTACTAGACGGCAATCCTATTTTAAAAATATATTTTTGTTTTGCATAGTTTATCCAACAAGAAGTCCTTAATAAGCCAAACAACTTTCTTTTTGAGCTGTCCTAAGCCACTGTGCCTTTTCATTTAAATTGGATGTTGTGATTGTTGTTAGGTGCTCACTGAGTCAGCTCCAACTCACAGCAATTCTATGCACAACAGAATGAAACTCCGTGATACTAATACAAAGAAGACATGATCTTTGTACTGGTGTGTGAGACTTACATGTAAACAAATATTCATTCAAGAATATTTGTTTTCCCACTAAACACTAGGCAACACTTTGTAAAATTCATTGTGCACAAAGGGCTAAGTTTCCCATGACTGGATGTCAAAGGACAACTTTACCCAAAGAAGACATTTGGAGCTGAGTCTTGGAGGACTGATAGAGGTTTACCAGCTAAGGATAGAGAAGGGCATCAATAGGCACATTCACAGAAAGAACATGAGAGTCAGTCAACTCGGGGAACTTGGGAGTGTTCTTTTTCTAGTTGAGAAGGAAGAAAGTGTTCGCAATTGTTGCAGAGCCATACTTGCATATAATGACATAATCAAAAGGCACACACTAACACAGTATCAATAGGAGGCAGCTACCAGAAGCACATTCCATCTCATCAGGGTGAAATTTCCCAACAATTTTAACTTCAAAGAATAGAGATACTTGGTCAAAAAGCAAGTAGTTTGTTTCTGTGAGTACAGTGGCCTTATTGCTTCTTGTCCAAGATGCTTTAGTAAGAATCATACTTTTACCTTTTAAAGGCACATAACAGTTACAGAATGCTCCCATGGATATCACTGCATTTTTAGTTCACCTAAGGCGGCCAATTATCTAGGTTTTCCTCCCAACTAAAGGGTTTCCGAGGACATAGGAATTTCATTGATAAAACCACAAAAGTCCTGGGCAAACTGGAAAGAATTTGTCATTTTAAACTAGTTTGTTCCTCTCTGCAACCTTTCGAGGCAGGAAGACCAGATTCTACCATTTGCTTTTAATCTAGTGGCTCTTAAAATGTGAGTCCAGTAACAACTGAATCAGCTGAGAGGTTGTTAGAAATGTGCATTACTGGGTCCTATCCTAGATCCAACGAAGAAGGATGGGAAATCTTCTCTAGTGTAATTAACCGTCTCTGAAAACCCACTTGAGGGTCAGCTATGGATCAGTTCCAACTTGATGGTACACAACAACAATAGCCCCAGACCCACAGAATCAGAAACTCTGTTTTAACAAACTCTCCCAGCGATTCTAATGCACATTATGTTTCAGAACCACTGATTTAATAAATTAAAAGCAAAGGGCCTTAAACTAGAAATCCTTTTCAGATACAAGGCTCTGTGAACTCTGAGTCCCAGCAAACAGAAGAAATCCTGCCTGCCCCTGAGCCAGATCTCGTTCATACCAGGCGGCCTCAAAGTCCACATCTCTGTACTGGTGATAGCGCCACTTGCAGTACACCTGGGTGGCAAAGCACCGGTCCTTCACCTCAGGGAGCGTGGTAAACTGGTCTTTAAGGAATCCTTCAAATCCAGACTGAGTTGTTTTCAAGACCTTGAGGTCTTTAATCCCAGAATGAATAACAGGAGGTCCTGTTTTAAGTTTAAAAAAAAGAAAGAAAGAAAGAAAGAAAAGATGGTGGTAATTAGAGGAAGTAAAAGAAGAGGAGGTTATAAACAAAACAATCTTTTTTATTGAGAACATTGGTCATAAAAACACATCAATTATAACTACACTTTGGCTTTTCTTTCTCTTCGTCGCCTCTTTGGTGGTAGTGATAGAGATTGTGAGCCTTTGCCTTCATGTGTTGCTGTTACGTACCATCAAGTTGGAACTGACTCACAGCTGACCCTCCAGTGGGTTTTCAGAGGCAGCATACCGCAGGGAGGGAAATGGCCCATTTTTCTCCTGTGGCGCACTGCTAAATTCAAAACTGTGCCTTTGGTTGATAGTACAACTCCTTACTCATCAATCCTAATTAATTAATCCTCGTTCTGGTATAATAAATCCAAACACAAAATTTAGAGGGCTCACAGCATCCACACACAGCTGTTTATAAGCCTTCTGACACAAACTGAAAGTTCAGACTTTTTCAACTTTATCTTCAGGTTTGATAATTCCCTAGAAAGATTCATGAGGAAAGGTATTATTTCACAGTTGCCATTTATTTGGAAGTTCTAGTGGCCTAGCAGGGAGTTCTGGTGGCTTAGTGGCAAGAAGCTGCACTACAATTCCAAAGGCACACAGTTCGAAGCCACCAACTACTCTGTGGGATAAGGATGGGCAATCTCCTCCTGTGTGATTTAATGCCTCTGTACAACTGTTAGAGGGTCAGTTATGGGTTGATTCCAACTTGATGGTAGTGGGTAAGGGTATTTTGTTGTTGTTTTTTTTGTTTGTTTTGGTTTTTTTTTTTTTTCCAAAACAAATTAGACGGTTTGAATCCATCAGCTGTTCTTAGAGAGAAAGCGAGGCAATCTCTTCCGATGTAATTCTTTAGCTTCTAAAAACCCATGGGACTATGAGATGATTCTGACTTGAAGGCACATAACAACAACAAACATTAATTTCAGGGAAAGGACACAAAATCAACAAAGACAAAAAGTTCATAAGATGGTCCAAAAACCCTGGAAGACCTGAGGATCTCTTCTATGGAGATTACAGTCCAGAAAACTCTCTGGAGCAGTTCTTCAACAACATGGGATCACTGTGAGTCAGAATTTAGTCAAAAGCAATGGATTTGGTTTTTTTTATTTATTATACACAGAGAGAGAGAGAGAGAGAGAAAGAGAGAGAGAGAGAGAGACAGACAGACAGACAGACAGAGATGGAGATAGATACCCAATGAAAACAAACTTGGAAGCAGGAGTGGCATCCACTTCCGAGACAGCTTGCCTCCAGAAACTCTATGAACTTGGAGAAACGATGAAAGTTATACAAATTTTCAGGTGTTTTTCTCACAGGATCACTATGAGTCATCTACAACTCAACAGAACTTAACAACAATATACTTGTTGGTTTGTTTGAACAGTTAATTTTTAGGAAGATTTTTACTGTTGTTAGGTGTCATTGAATCTAGTAAAACTCATAGTGACTCTATAAACAACAGGTCTGGCCTTTGACCTCTCCCGTGCCATCTTTATCATTTCTGACATGTTTGATCCATTGCCACTGTGTCAATCCATCTCATTGAGGGAAGTTGAGCACAAACCATTTGCACATGGAGACTGTGAGTTGAATCCAGTGAATATCAAATAAAAAGCATCTGTGGCATAGAGTCAGGATACAGTACTTGTTTAAAACGGAAATGTAACAATGTGCATGAACACTATCTACCAGGGAAGCTCACTCATGTCTAGGTGGTCAGATTTTTTATTGGTACTTTGTTATGTAGGCATGATGTAGGTTGATTGTGTCATTGATCTCAGTCTCCAGGTCAGCCTATATTGCATTATCCACAGTTGTTATGTGCTGTTGAGTTCCTTGCTATTCATAATGAACTTATGGACAACAGCCCTGAAACCTGCTGTATCCTGTGCCAACTTTACTGTTTCCGACACACTTACCCTCACTACCCCAGTCACTGTATCAATGCATCTCATCGAGGTTCTTCCTCTCTGCATCTCCTGTCTTGCATCTCCACCCTTCCAAGCATGATGTCCCTCCCCAAGGACTGGTCCCTCCTTGCAACATGCCCAAAGAATGTCAGTCGCAGCCTCAGAATCCTTGCCTCCAAGGAACAGCCTGGCTTCACCCTCTCTAGGACAAACCTGTTTGTTCTCCTAGCAGTTCATGGTATATTCAACACTCTTCTCCAGCACCACCGCTCAAAGGCATCAATTCTCTTTCTATCATCCCTAGTCATTGTCCAGATCTCTGATGTATGGTAAGCAATTGCAAAGTCTATGGCCTGGATCAGGTGAACTTTAGTCTCCAGACTGACATTGTTGCTCTTCAGCACTCTGGAAAGGTCCCTGACAGCCGACATATCAACAGTACTCACCCTAAATCATAGTTGGTATTACTGTCATGCCAGCTCTCACAGTAAAGTTATCCAGTGACTCAAGGCCTCTAGACAAACAAACACATTCCTGTCACGAATAACATTCCGTGAGCCCAGAGATGATATCCCAAAGAACAAAGGCCAGAGTTTCCTTTGGACAAGACCAAATTATTTCTTACACATCTGCCTTCTCCTGTCCAACACCAGAAAATAGAATTTTTGGTTATAATGAAGCTCACAAAAATGAATTCCTTCCTCTCAGATACTTATATGGGTGTTTTCTAGGCCAAAATACCTTATACATGTTTAACTCCATCTTGTTCAACAGAAAATTATTCTGAAATGAGTTAATAAACTTATCAGAGCCATTATTCTACCTGCTATTGCCACTGTGACTCATTTTACTGGGGAATGTTCTCATAGGACACTGCCTACACTGAATAATGACAAGTTCAGACCCTAATAGTGTCCCTGTCCCCTTGTAGTAATGAGCTCAGTAAAATCAGAGAGCCTCATGCATGGATAGAAGTGTGTGCCTGGCTGAATCTAAGCTAAGACTGAGAAGATGAAGTCAGTGACCTAAAAAATATTAATTCATCTCAACTGATACCCATAAAAGATTTATAGTTTTGACTGAAAAAGAAAGGAAATATTGGTTCCTATATACCTAAGGGATAGACAGAAAAGTTATAAACAAAGGCAGACATTATGACTCTTCCATTATCTCTGAATGAGAAAGGATAAGGATGATAAATCATAATCCTAAAAGGCTGCGCCAAGCAGTTCCAACTCAGAGTCCAGGTGGCGGGTGGGGCACAGAATTAAGAAGAGGAAGTCTTTCTACATGGAGCATACTGTAACTCCACCAACTGGATCAAGATTAAAGAGGATATTATTATTAGGATATGTTAAATATTATATTATTAGGATATATAAAATATTTAGGATATTAGACTAAAGAGGATATATTATTGTAATGTGCCATCGAGTCCACTACAACTCATAGCGACCCTATGAACAAGGGTTCTACAATTCTGAGCCAATCTCCTTGTGTTCTATATATCTAACCCCATTGCCACAGTCACTGTGTCAGTCCACCTCATTCAGGGTCTTCCTCTTCTGGGTTGATCTTCTACCCTTCCAAGCATGATGTGTTTCTCCAAGGACTGGTCCCTTCTTCAAGACATGCCCACAGAGTGTGGGACTGAGCTCTAAAATCCTTGCCTCCAAAAGGCAACATGGTTTTACTTTCTCCAGGACAGACTTCTTTGTTCTCTTGGTAGTCCATGATATATTCAGTACTCTTCTGCAGCATCACAACTCAAAGGCATCGATTTGGATTCTTCTTCTGTCATCCTTATATACTGTCCAGCTCTCAGATGCATACCAAACAATTGAGAAGACCATGGACTGGAGCAGGTATACCTTAGTCTCTAAACTGACATGATTCCTCTTTAGCATTCTGAAGAGATCCTTGACAGCAAATTTTCTGAGGGTGACTTGTCTTTTTATTTCCTGACTGCTGGTACCAAGAATGTTGACTTTGGATCTAAGCAAGATGAAATCATCAACAACCTCTATCCTTTATCCATTTGTCATGACACTTCCTGCTGGCCCAGTTGTGAAAATCTTTGTTTCCTTGATGTTGACATGCAATCCATATTGAAGGTTGTAGTATTTTACCTTCTTCAGCAAACACTTCAAGCCTTCCTCAGTTTAGGCAATCAAGGTTGTTCCATCAGCATAATTCAGGTTGTTGATGAGTCTTTCTGGTGCCATCTTCTTCTTCATAAGCCTAGCTCCCATGTGATCTTTTCCACACACAGAATGAAAAGATATAGTATTATAAGGAAATGTGTAAAGAACTGGAATCAGAAAATCAAAGAAAAAGAACTCACTTGGCATTCCTCATGCTGAAAGTGTTGTAATGTGGAAAGGATTCTGTGGGAAATATACTGAATGATCCAGGAATCATCAAAAGAGGATGGAAGGACATAGAGATATTGTAATTGAAAAAATTGGCAGACACAGAACCTTTTCAGGAAGTAGCATATGATCAAGAATCAATGGTGATAAAGGAGGAAGTTCAAGCTGCTCTGAAGAAACATAAGGCAAAAACATAAGGCCCAGGAATTTATGGAATACCAACTGAGATATTTCAACAAATAGTGGCAGTCCTGTATCTGCTCACCAGGTCGTACTGGGAAATCTGAAGGATAGCTACCTGGCCAACTGACTAGAAGAGATCCATATTTATCCCCTTATAGGTGATCCTACAGAATGTTAAAATTATTGAACAACATTACTAATACCACACGCAAGCAAAATCTTGCTGAAGATAATAAAAAATATTAGAATAGTACATGGACAAGAACTGACAAAAATGCAAGCTGGGTTTAGGCAAGACTGCACTGCTGATGTTAGATGAATCACAGCTGAAAGCAGAGAGTACAGAGGGATACCTGTTAGTGTTTTATTGACTATGCAAGGGTGTTTGACTGAGTGCATCACAACAAACTGTGGCTGATGTTGAGAAGAATGAGAATCCTGGAACACCTGATTGTGCTCATGTGAAACCTATATCTAGAG